CTTATACACATCTAGATGTGTATAAGAGACAGTTCACACACACACACACAAAAATTCACACACTTGTTTTTTTTTTTTTTGCTTCCCGTTTCGTCTAGGGCAGGGGGCCCATAGCCCCCTTCAAGCAGTGTCGCTGCTCCCCACACTGCCCACAGCCCCCCCAAGCACCGCCACTCCTTCCCACACTGCCCAAAGGCACCCCCCACCCCGCCCCCCCCCCTGCGCGAACGCGTCGAATGTGTTCACGCGCGTTCACCGCGTTCAAATCTTGAATGCAAAACGCGCGTTCAATGAACATGTGGTAACATAGCAGCAGACTGTTAATACGATTATCAGAAGCCGATCTGTGCCCGAGATTGTGAAGAGTCCTGATTGGCACTTGGAAAGCAGATCCCGTTGTGACCTCTGATATGCCTCGCACAACTTCGCGACACCAGTACCCTCTCTCTTGATGACCAATACCCCTGCTATTCCTGGCAGGATCTCTCCCTTTTATCTTTTCCGTCGCTGCTGTAGGAGCAAGACGTCGTGGAGCGTGCGAACAACCGTTGGTGTCAGTTGCACTCCACAAGCTCGTCCCGTTTTCGTTCACCCCGTCTCTCCTCTCGTTAGCCGCCCTCTCTCTCTTTTTTTACACCCTCTGCGTTACCCACGTCCTTCGGAGACGTCCATGAGCATATGTCCTCCCCCCTTGGCTAGTCACACATGCAGCGATCTGGTTGACTTCAACATCCCAGCACACGCGTTCAGTTTTCTCCTCTCTCTGCTGTTGACCCTCTCGCCACCCGTGTCTGTCCCCGCGCGCGCCTCACACCCGTTTCTTCCCTTTGCTCTATTTTTCTCCCGCCCTGCCGCCTCTGGGCGTCAGCTGTCGTGAGTTGTCCTCAGGTCCCTCTTCCACCGGCTTTGCAGCCCGGTGATGCCTTTGGATTTCGCCTGGTCTGATCCAGGACCTGAGGTCCGTCTCCCGGTCCTTCGCCTCGCTCATCTCACTCTCCCCACCTGAGCCCCGTTCCAGGTGGGCCTGCTCCCAGTCCGCCGTGTCCATCGAGGTCTCGGTCTCATGATACGAGACCGTTACCTGCATTTTCGTTGTCACCGTGACGCCGCCCCTCCTGCAGCGCTTCTCCACACGGTCTTTCGTCTTCGTGATAGCGTCCTGTAGCTTTCCATCAGTTCGCATCTCCTCCTTTTTTCCTCCCTCCACGTTGATCCTCAGTCTTAGCTCGTCTCCCCCGTCGTAGTTGAGTATAGCCGTGATCCAGGGCCCCTCCCCGGACATAGGCTTCCACCGAATTTGGTGGTACCAGTAGCAGGGTCTGTACCCGTGCAAAGCCATAGCCAATCAGAGACAGCCACGGACCCACCCCTGGGTGCACGCACTCAGATGGCCCAGGCTACCCCTCACTGCTTCACGCTCAGGACCTCAAACCAGCAACACTAACGCGGCGGGATAGTTCACAGGCACCCTGCTCACCCCCTGGCAGCAAGCCTCTGCTGTCTTTTATAGACCTGCCTCATACCGAGTTACCTGCGTTCTAAACAGGGGGGCTCTTAGTACCGTTTTGAAAATAATGGAATAATTAAGATTTGGAATTATATACGAAAGGAAACTCAGGCAAAAGACAGCACTTACGATAGCAGAATAGCCCTCCTACTATTGGTCCATGTCACTTCTTCTTACTGCTTAAGCGATTACGATTCCAGGGCGATGGTCCCGTAACGGAACACCGACGAACACATTCCCCTTTTCAAAACATGGCGCCGGCCTATTCCTGACGGGTACCCGTGTCCGATGGCAAGGAGGGGGCTTATGACCCTTCACAGAGGGGTGATAAGCCTCCTACTGATGCGGCCACGGGTCGCCCCTCTCTTTTGAGGTATCACCGCGCGGCGCTCAACTGGGGTTCATTCCGAGGGTACTTGATGTCGGCCAACTTGGGCCATACCTTCAGATCCAGAAATTCGGACCGTTGGTTTTTTCGCGAAGCGACTAAAAATTAAAAGGTAAACCGCGTCCTAAATCGGTAAAACAATAATAAGAATGATAATAATAATTACAGAAAAGGAGAAAGAAGAAAGTGGCGGTTCAGGTTTCCTTCGCGCCACAGCTCTGCTTGGGATAGCGACATAGGATCCACACAGACACCACTGTATCTGGCCCCCAATACGTCTACTAGGGTCTTACTGCGCAGAGCTTAAATGAGCAGACCCAGTGCAGGTGAGATTCAAAGGGTTGCCCTGCCTACAAAGTGACGGGGACCGAAGGTGAACCCACACCTGAAAATAAACAGATCAATATTAATAACAATAATATTAATAATAGTTGTGGAACAAAAAATAGAAAAGAAAACGTAAAGTCACAGTGGCCTGAAGCCACTAGTTTTTCCCCCAAACTAAACATTTTCATACTCAATGTTTTATTATATATATAATTTCTCTTTTATTATCCTGTCTTTTCTCTTTTGAGAGTGACCTCCGCCTAGTGCACCTAACCCATAACTCAGTAGAAGGGCGACTGGCTCGCAGTTGAAAAGACTGAGTCTGCCCTCTCTCCCCCGCGCCCCAGGGCAAACCCGGCGGCTACCACGGTCACAGGGCGGTTGTGCTCTGCTGTACAGCAGGGTGCCGAGCCTGCATGGACCAATGGAAGTCCTGTGGCGCACCCTTTTTGCTGAAGGCTACGCCACCGGGACTTGTCCATGCCGAGAAACGGTCCAGGCACCAGAGCAGGAAACTATACTATACAAAGGCTTGGTACACAGGAGTGTCGGGACACCATGCCCTCCGACATAATACCAAACCCCCACCCAGCGTCCCCGCTGGGTCAGAGTGAGAAGTTTCGATATAAAAACAGAGCAACCCAATATGCTCTCGCTCATTTCCCTTGTGGCTTGAGGCGATTTCCGCATTACCATTTTTTGCACTAGCTGATTCTTCACTTCTCTCATAGCGCTCGTACTTCTATGAGCACACCTTCCTTCTTTGCGCTCACCTTCCTTCTCTGCGTTCACCTCCTCTTCAAGTGTTCGTCCTCACTCTCCGTGCTAGCCATCCCCCTTCGCGCTAGGTTTCTTTCTCTGCGCTAGCCTTTTTTCTCTTAGTATTAGCTTTCTCCTCTGGCGCTAACTTTCTTTTCTCAGCTCTAGTTTTTTTTCTCCTCTAACGTGCTGTAATCTTTTGTTTTCATCTTAGCCATGTTCTTCTTCCCTTTTTAACAGTTTCTTTGCTCTTAGCACTATTCCCTGTTTCTTGTTTCTATCTTAATTGATCTCTCACCTTTCGTCATGCCTGAAGCACGTCGTGGACAGGGTAGAGGAAGGGGAGGAAGAGGAGGGAAGGCTAAAGAGGAGCCGCCGGCCAGGGCACGGCGATATTATAGTTCAGAGGAAGAGGAAGAGGAGGAGCCACGAGGCTACGACCGCCCAAGGCCATACCCCCGCTATTCGCTAGCAGGGTGGTACGAGAGGACTCCATCTCCAGATAGGATGGAGTTCCTCCGTAAAAAATTTGACGCGCGCTACGGCACACCTAGCGCCTCTTCACCTCCTTACATCCCTAGAGCTCCTTCCACTCCCGTTGTAAGCAAGGCCATAGTGCCGACTGCACCTTCTTCTGTCCCCTGTGCCGTCACATCACCTCATCATCCCAGCCACTGTGTTCTCCTCAGCATCTTCCTTCTTCTCTTTCTCTTCCAACTCGAGTTCATGGCTGTCTTTTATGTTTTATATAAGCGCGATTTCTTTACAGCCTTTTGAGTCTGATTTCGGTTTACAAAATTTTCAGTTCACTGTCCACTCCATAGCGTCCCAAGCCTAAGAGTTTGGCTTCCTTAAGGCCAAGGATGCAGGTTCCTCGTGAACCAGGCCGCTTGTTGGCCACCAAATAAAATTTTAAGAAGGATTTTGTCTGCTTGTTTGACTTGTTCAGCTGCTAGTCTTTCGCATGAAGGTTACCTTAGCTCTTGATCGGGCATCTACGCCAGGGATAACACCAGTAACGAGGGTACTTACTCTGTCTGTCATGCTGGGAGCGGACCATACCAAACCCTTTTTCTGTTTCTCTGGCCTAAGTGAGACGTCTTCTCAGCTTCTCAAGCACCTGATGGGGATACCAAACCCTTGTTTTCTTTCTCTGGTCTGGGTGAGGCGTCTCCTCAACTTCTCAGATAAAAGGAAGGGGATACCAAACCCTTTTTCTTTTCTCTAGTCAGAGAACTTTAGATAAGTATTTGTATACCTGCAAAACAGCAAGTCCCACAGACAACCACTATGCCCTCGCAAGCAGACCCTCTGACAACCAGCAGTCAAGCATTAACAAATTAAAATAAAACCCATAAATAAAATAATAAATAATAAATAATAATTAATACATAACAACTCTTTATACCCGGGATTTATTGATTGCCTTGGTTTCGGCCCACCACTGGCCAGGAATGTCGGACGTCCCGTGAGTCTGACATACCTCATTCGGCCCGCCTCAGGCCAGGACTAGTCAGACCATTTGTCTTGACAGCCCCTTTGACCTGCCTCCAGATCAGGACCAGCATACCCACTACTCGAGTATAACAGCCCTTTAGCACTCTCGCAAGGACACCCAGACTATAGCGGGTCTGGTCACCCTATGACAGCAGACGTCCCGTCAGTCAAACTGTCCCGAATCCGGATTTGACCACTGCGGCCAGGGACCGGCTCACCTACCAGTTTTTGGCCAAGGGCGCTGGCTACCCCATCCAGATTTTTGAACGTGGGAACCGGTCTAACCATAGTTCCAGGCTCTGGCTAACCTCATTGGATTGCAACCTCTAACTGCGGTAGGGTTCCAGCCGACCCTTTTCGACCTCAGAGGCCAAACCCCCGGAGCCTTAGCCTCAGTCGACTACGGAATTCGACACTCGCGTCGGGGACCTGCTGACCCCACCAGATTGCAACCTACTGCAGTAAGGCTCTTGCTAGTCCCAACAATCAACGCATCTTTAGGTTAGAGAAGAGAATCCCAGGCACAGAAAGTCAGGCAAGCATATCATAACCCACAAACACACTGCCCACGCCCCAGAACAGAACAGAGATCTCTCAAGAGACGTCCCGTCAGTCTCAGGAGACACTGAACAATAACATGCTAGCCAACACTAAGAGTTCGCAAGAGACCTCCCTTCAGCCTCAAGCAAAGAACTTAGTGCTAGCCCTAGAGAGGTCCCTTCCCTCAACTGGGATTTCTTTTCCAAGAGACGTCCCGTCAGTCTCAAGGAAATACTGAAACGTTGATCTCAGAGAGGTCCCTTCCCTTATTTGAGTGAAGACAGACCCTTAGCCAAGAAGCACGAAGTTCCTCTACTGACCACTCTCAGTCAAGTAAAGCTGAACTTCTTTATGCCTGCCTTCGTCTGAATCTCTTGGATGAACAACTTAGTCAGAGACACGAAGTCCTTCTGCTGATAACTTTCAATCAGACAGAACTGAACTTCTTTATGCCCATCATGCTTTCTCTTTGTCATAAGAATAATATTGCTTATATCATTTGATATGCCACAACCATGAGTTTATCAGATCTTGACATTGTGTCAATGCTCCCAGAACTGTACTCACAGTTACTCCCTACTCTCAGGATTTGACACTCATGGAACGACTGCAACACTGCATCAAAGATATAGTTTCATTAACTTAGTTGCTTGCTGAAATAGATAATCAAATAACTTGCTGAAAACCGGAGTATTGAAACTGAGATGCTGAAACAAGAGTACTGAAATTGGAATGTAGAATTGACTTATGCAAGAATGATAATTGTCTGCTCGTAACTGAGCCTCAGTGTCTCAGTGTCTTACTGTACTCTTTCTCAGTTCTCTATGATCGTTCTCTTACTTGGATGGTTGACTTCTCTTTCCTCTCTTTGGAGTCACTGTAGGGATCAAGTTAGGGTCCCTAAAAATGAACTTATGAAGTCTTGACCCTGATACCATGTCATGAACCCTGGATCCATCCATTTCTGATATCTCATAAACTTTGCCCTCCGCTACTCCTGTAATTCTGTAAGGACCAAGCCATCTCGGCTCCAACCTTTTAGTCCATTGTGTCTCAAGAGAACTGTCAAACAGAAGGACAACATCTCCAATCTTCAATTTCTCTTTTCTTATATATCTTTTCTTTTTCCATCTTTCTTGGTCCGATAGTCTGCTGGATGACATCCTCTCTGCTGCATCCATCACTGCCTGATCAACTTCAGATATCTGCCTCATTCTGATCTGAAGGAGTTCTAAAATAGAATAATCCCTGTCACTCTCTTGACTTGACCATCTCTTGACAATACTCTCAATTGGTAGCGT